CTATACCAGCTCTGCTGGAGTCTCTAGACCCTTTTAGCAGAGGAGTGGGTACACTCAAGTCAAGTCTCTGACAACAGTGTGAGATGAGAAAGGATCACGTTCAGAAGGACTTCCCCAACCACACCGTCTTCTGTAGAACAGCGACCGCAGACCCGACAGGCTCTGAAATCCACAGGAAGAATTAACTTGAGACCTGGTGGGGTTTGCTGTGCCCAGAAACAGGAGCCAAAGCAGAAAGGGCACACAGGGGCAGGGTCTGAGCTTTCTTTACATGCACCTGAAGCTTCATGGTACTCAAAAATTATCTAACTAAACAAGGAATGAACAACCTCATAGGAGCTTGTCTCCTATGCTCACCCTTCGGTGGTGTCCTCTGATGGGGCATGGTACTCAGACCTATGAGGCCAGGCAATGCCAAATACGTGTGTTCCTGAGAGCCGGAGAGATCATACCGGTAAATGGCAACTGTCAATGTATTTCCTACACTGGGCTAGTTCTCATTTTCTACACTTAATTATACAAAAACTTTTATTTTTACTTAGGGAATTACTTGTCTGGGATTAAAGAGTGACTAGATTTAGGATAATCGTGTTACCTTTCTCTGAATCTTTAAGCTTTCATGTTAATCTACACTACACTGTAAATATTAGGTCTTTCAAAACAATGCTACACAGCTTCTCTCTTTCTTTCTTTCTTTCTTTCTTTCTTTTTGTCTTTTTGAGGCAGGGTCTTGATATGCAGTTCAGGCTGGACTCGAGCTCACTTTGTAGCTCAAGCTGGCCTTAAACTCACAACGATCCTCCTGCCTCGGCCTCCCAAGTGTTGGGATTACAGGCATGCGCCACCATGCCCGGCTACACAGTTTATTTCTAAGCCCTAACAACCGGGATCCAATCTCTGAAGCCAGCTTTGGTGAGGCTTGAGTATTTTTTTTTTTTTTGGCTGTGGTACGAGAGGGTGGGGGTAGAGGCTAGAGGAGATCCAAGCTGCTCACAGGAAGTACTGTGGACACTGGAAAAGCAGAGGAAGTGGTTTATTTGTCTTGCCCTTTTCTGCAACAGTGCGGTGTAGCAGAACAAACAATGAACTTGAGTACTACGTTACTTATTACCTGTGCGGATTTAGGCAAGTCAACTAACTCCCTTAAACTTCAGCGGCCTAAGCTTCATCAGCAAAATGACGCTGTTACCAATTCCAGAGTATGGTTATGTAGCTCAAATTAGATCAAGTATAAGAAAATAATCTGTAAACTCTAAAACCCTAAGTAAATGGTTTAAGCTAGAAAATGATATGATCAGATTTGTGTGTGGTATGTTTTATTTTTGTATTTGTGTCCCGGAAAGATTACTCACCCAGGGATGTGGAGAATGGTCTAGAGGGGACAGCTCTGGAGCCAGGAACCCACACAGCTGACTATTGTTTAGGTGAGAGGATGCTAATATGGCTTATGGAAGTAGCTGCAGAAATGCAGCGCTGAATCTATAGCATTTGGTAACTGATCGCTATAGTGATAGTGCCAGAGAAGGATGAGGAAGGCCTGTTTCTGCCTGGGTCGGATGGGGATGCCATTCACTGTTCAGAAGATGTTCACTAACAAGTTAAAGAATAAACTGGTACATTCAGACAACAGAAAATTATTCAGCAATAATAGGAAATGAACTACAAAGACACAGATGAAACTTATACTACTAAGCAAGAGAAGCCAAATCAGACAGTTACATACTGTATGTTTCCAATCATATGATGTTTTGGAAAAGGTAAAGCTTGTAGAGGTGATAAAGGGCTGAGTGATCTGCGGGGAGGGTGATGAGATGTAGCACGGAGAATACTTTGGGCAGTTAAACTACTCTCTGAATGACACTACAGTGACAGATGTTGCTGCATTTCTCAAAATTCATAGAATGTACAACGCACACAGTGACCCCTAATGTAAACGGTAATTTCTAGATGATGAGGCTGGGTCAATTCAGGCTCAGCGACTATAACAAATGTGCCCCTCTAGTGGAGGATACTGACAGTAAGGGAAGCTGTGAGAGGCAGAGGCAAAGGGAACATGGCCACTCTCTACCTTCTGCTCAAATTTGCTATGAATCTGCAACTGCTCTAAAGTATAAAATCTATCTTAAAAGGTAAGGAATGGTAAAGTACTAAACACTGCTGAGCAGCCATTAACATAAAACTAAGGCTATGCAGTTGGTTAATGACAAGATCACTATTACCCGAACCACAACAATCCACTGGGCCACTTTTCTGCTTCCTTTTATGGTAAAATCAGAAAGGGTTGCGCCTGCTTCCTCACTCTGTTCCCCTTCCCTGCTTTTCTGTCCTATCCACATGCCGTAGGCTTGTTCCTGCCACGCCCCCACAACTGCACTGGAAGAAAGGCAGTGACTCTGCGGTTCTAAATGTGACACTCAGCTCTCAGCCTTCTTACTTGACTCAGCAGCGCTCCCTACAGCACCTCCTTCCCTCTTCCTTGGAACATTTTCTTCGTTTGTTTCTGAAGATAAAAGGCTTTCTGGCTTTCCTCACTAGCCATTCTTAAGATCCCTCTTCACCTTCCTTATCTTTCAATACTGCTATGTTCTGGACCTTAACCCTTGGGCCTCTTCCCTTCTCTTTAGTCACTAAAAACTAATCTCATAGTATAAAATATATTCACATCTACACTGATTCCCAAATACATGTACCCAGAACGCTCTCCTAAATTCAACTCGTACACAGTATCTCAAATTTAGGTGTCTAATGGCTCCTCAAACTTCACAAATCTTGGCTGAGAGAGGCATGGTGGCGCATGCCTATAATCCTAGCACTTGGGAGGTTGAGGCAGGAGAATCGCTGTGAGTTGGAGGCCAGCCTGGGCTACAAAGTGAGCTCAAGGCCAGCCTGAACTGCCTAACTAGACCCTGTCTCCAAAAAAAAAAAAAAGAAACAAAACAAAACAAAATCAAAAAACTTCACATGTCTAAAACACCTCTCCAAAATGTAAGGATTCTTCCTTAGTTATCCCATTTGAGTTAGGAGCAAATCCATCCTGGTTTTTCAGGCCAAAAGCTCTGGAGTTACTTTTTTTTTTTTAAAAAGACTGTAGTGCAAGCTAGCCTTGAACTCACTATGTAGCCCTGGCTGTGAGAACTCACGGCAATTCTCCTGCCTCTGCCTCCCAGAATGCTGGTAGCTCCATCACACCAAGCTGAAGTTACCTTTAACTATTCTCTTTCTCTTGCTTCAAATCTAATACTAAACGTTGCGGCCAAACTACCTGGGTTTTAATTTTAGTTCAGCCACTTAATGGCAACATAATCTTAGGGAAATTGTTTAACCTTTCCTGACTTCAGTATTATTGTCTGTAAAATTGGGATGGCAGTACTATGCATCTCATAGGACTATTACAATATATCAGTTATTGTTTGCAAGATGCCCTGAACATTGTCCATCATGCAATGTGTAGTATCCCGTCCGTCTGACCACTTCCCACCATCTTACCTCTCCATTCCAGAGTCTGGGAACTAGCCACCCATAGCCCTCGTCTGGATTATGCTAAACCTCCTTCATTTAGCTTTTGTACTTTCAGATCTATTGGCATCACAGCAGCCACAGTAATCTTTTTTTAAAAAGTCAGTGCTAAGGGGATAGCTCAATGAAAGACTGTTTGTTGAGCATGTTCTAGGCTCTGAATTTGATCTCCTGCACTGGCTAAATAGACAAACAAACAAACAAAATAAAAGGTCACTGTAAAGTTTTTTCAACTTTTTTGTATGCTTAAAAATTTTCATGATGAAATTTGGGAAAAAACAAAAGTCAAAGTATATCACTTCTCTGTCAAAACCATTACCTTTCACCCGAGGTAAAAACTGAAGTCTTTACAATGCCAAGGTAGGTCCCCAAAACAAGCCCTCTCCTACCTTTCTGACCTCCTCTCAGTCCTCATCGTCACGCTCTCCTTTGGAGCACAGGGCCTCCTTCCGGTCCCTCAAACACTGAAGCACGTTCCCTCCCTGCGTCTCCAGCCCTTGCCGGCCCGCTGCACACTGCACCACCAGCCTTCATGTGTCCCAGACTCCACACCCGGCCCTGTCCTGGACGCACCTCTTCAAGTGACTCCCCACTTATCATCCTAAACCCCTTCTCTACTTTCTTTTTCTCACAGGATGTATCATTCTCTGATATACTAAGTCATCAAGGCTAAGAAACTTAAATTGAGTCCATGTTTCACCTACTTATTCTAAAATGCAACTCCAATGTGCTTATATTTTGCTGCCAACACAGTGAACATATGTTCTTCCTTAAAATAAAAGTAGATGATTAAACAAAACTATACTATGTTCTGTATTGTTTCTAAAATGCTCCCTTATATGCATATAAATAGTGACAAAAACTACAGATTCTCAGTATCTGGTATATTGTTTTCAGTGTTAAATTATTCTAAGAGCTATTTACCCTACTTCCTACTCATTCGAAAATATTTTTTACTTGAGTGTGGAGGTAACTAGCATAGAAGTAGGAAGCGAAATAGTAGCAAGACTGGGATGCGAAGCCGGCTTTATCCTTGGCACGTGAAACACCTTGGAAGGGGGCCCCAGTAAGTGGAAACTGCGCATTATAATGAAACAGAGGTGGGAGGACACAGGTGAAGCTGCAATATTTACTTTACTTCTACTGCATGGTAGAGGGAGTGACTCTTTCTATACATTATTTAATTGAATCCTTATGGTAACAGCCTTCATAAAATTCTCAGCCAATTTATAGATGAGGAAACTAAAGCTCAGAGAGATTTAGCAATGTTCAGAGCCCAGATATAAAAACAGGTCCATCCGGTGCCAAAGCCAGCACACTCTGTTCTGCATGGACCTTTCCCGGTGGAGGCACCAGCACAGCAACTGGAGCTAAAGAAGGTTGTAAAATGGATCATTTGTACTCAGGCACTGAATTCCTCGGATAACTTAGCATCCTAGCTTTCCGTGAATCTAAGCACAGCTGTGTGCTGGCCACGCACTCACCTGTGGACATGAAAAACGGGATGCGGAACTTGCCACTCAGCACGCGGGCCCGCAGGTTCTGCAGTGTGCTCCCGTCAAACGGCAGGGCGCCGCACACAAGCACGTACAGGACAACGCCGAGGCTCTGCACCCCAAACGAAGAGTACGGACAATCAATCAGGTCAGAGGAAACAGAAGAGGCCATGACAGAGTGTGTGTGTGTGTGTGTGTGTGTGTGTGTGTGTGTGTGTGTGTGAGAGAGAGAGAGAGACAGAGAGAGAAAGAAGACAATGGGGAGCGCATACAATAGTATGGAACCAATTTTTTTATTCTTTTGTACAAGACTAATTGGGGTACTGTCAAGCCAATCATCTTCAGAATAATTAACACTCTTCTTTCTTCCAGAAATGAATTTTGTAACAACCCCAACTTCTCAGTACACATCCTTAGGGGCAAGGCAAACAGCAAAAACAGAAAGAATCTTTGTTCTTAGCAAGTGCACAAATCCAGGCTGGCCTTGAGTTCTGCAGATGCAAAGGACTGGCGTGAAACTCAAGGCTCAGCCCTAAGGTGAGCGCTAGAGGGGCAGCTGCACAAAGGATTGGAACAGAAGGAACAGCTGACCTCCCTCTCTACCCACAGCAGCAGCACAGGCCTCCAGAAGGAGGAAAGCGCCATCTGGTGGCAGGAGGTTGGGTGTGAAGGCAGTCACTTACCCAGATGTCCACTTTAGGCCCATCATACTCCTTTCCTTCAAAGAGTTCCGGGGCAGCATACGGAGGACTGCCACACCAGGTCTTCAGCAGCTGCCCAGGAGTGAAGAGGTTACTGAAGCCAAAATCTAGAAGGGCAGATGGAAACAACTAACGTTATCACAACCCAGCAAATACTAGTCCCTACAACAAAGGAATATGGAAAGGAATCACTGGGTTTGAATATCAAAAGCAAAAAGAAAATACTTAGGAAGTATGTAGCCAGCCACTTGAACTTAAACAGTGAAACAGATATTCACGAACTGGAAGGCAAAGGATATCTGTATAACTAAAAGTAAACATGGTCGATTTATGTCAGCAAGACCAATACTGTCTTCTTCAGGAGCCTAGGCAAAGTGAGATGGGTGATTCTTGTTCCTTTAAGAACAAAAATGAGCGCTGGGGATATAGCTCAGTGGTTCAGCACTTGCCTGGCAAGTGTGAGGTCGTGAGTTCAATTCCTGGTACCAAAAAAAGGAACTAAAATGAAATTGGATGACTCATGTGAAGAACACATCAGAATCAGTAAAGATAGACAGAGTGAGATTATCATTAAGATGTCTTATTCAAAATGAAGAAATACAACTTACTCATAAACTGAACCAAGAACATTTATATTTTAACTTCAACCCTTCCCCCCTCACTATCTGAAGAGGGAGTGGATGGGAGGGGGAATCACGGGGAGGAATACCAGGAAAATGGCAAGGATGGCAGCCCAGAGGATGGAAATTCACTGACATAAGAGATATTGCGCTTTATTTCTGAACAGTCCCTGTAACAGGCTAGAACTCCCTGCTTCCCCAAGAATTCCTTCCTTCCCTGGGCATACCGCTCCCTGCAACCAGCATCCCCCAAAGCTGCGCACCTACCTACTCCCTGTAACTCTATTTCCTTTTCTAGTTTTACTCTCCTGCTGACAAGTGTCTGCTTTTGCTTACCCTCTTTCTGCAGAACTTGCTTCGTCTTTTTGTGCAGGGTCTTACTGTATTATGTGGGCTATTCTTAAACTCCTCATTTCAAGTGATCCTCTCACCTCAGCCTCCCAAGTGCTAGACCACAGGTACAAGGCATGCAGCACCACATCCACAACACAGAAGGTTTTAATGTCAAACATCTGATGGTTTTGACTGCCTCTCCTCACTCTCCGTTTCCTCAGGGCTGACTCTTCTGGTCCCAACAACTTTCAACACCACTTTCAATACCACTCCCAAATCCCTAGCATTAGCTTCTAATACGGTATCCGCTGGCAGGTGGGAGGGGTCGGGGGGTGGCTACCAACCCACCATTTTCTAAAATCAAATCTGTTCTCCCCATCCGCACCAATGGTGTATCTCAAGAACACTGCAGCCATCTCTCTCTCTTTTTTTTTTGTCTGTTTTTGAGACAGGGTCTCACTATGCAGTTTAGGCTGGCCTTGAGCTCACTTTGTAGCCCAGGCTGGTCTCAAACACCCAAGGATCCTCCTGCCTCAGCCTCCCGAGTGCTGGGATTACAGGCTTACAGGCGTGCGCCACCACACCCAGCTTGGAGCCATCTTCAGTTTCTTTTGCTTTCTCATTTCCCATTTCAAGTTGGTAACAGCACTCTTACTGCCTCTGAGATAGGAGATCAGGGTGGCAAAGCTGGCTGGGGAAGTATTACAAGATCCCGGACACGTGTGCAGAAGTTCCCAAAGCCTTGCACGAACATTCAAGCTGGTTTTCAATAGGATGGCCCAGATCTGATGTCAGCCTGAGACACGGAATCTCAGCACCAGCTCTCAGGACCCATATGTGGATGTTCCTGTGGGTTTCTTCGAGATTTAGACAGTGTAAAAGGACACAATGATGCCATGAAGGCTTTGCTATCATACCTTTCCATGGCAGCCCATGCTATGCTTCCCAGCGGAGCGCACTTCGTCGTTGCTCTTACCCTCTTTTTCTATGTACTTGGCCCAAGCCCGCTCTGCAAAGCCAGTTTCTTTCCCACTCTTCGTTTTTGCTTTCTTGAATGAACCTTGCCACATCTTTTTGCTCATTTCATTCAATTCTCTGTTCAAGGCAAGAAGAATCTGGAATCCAAGCCCAGAAGGAGAGGCGAGCTATCCAGAACCCAGTAACCTTTAGTTGGCGAGCCACTTTCTTAGAAACAAGCTACCCACTAACACTTCCACCCTGAGTCTCGAATTCTAACTCTCATTCCTAGCTCTGCTCCTACCATCATAGTACACACTCTTCTCACCTCTGACCTACACTGATGTTCTGTTTACTGTCTGTCATTTCACTTTCCGCTAAACCATCCACTCATAGCATAGTAAGTATTACACAAATCATATCTTGTGACATCCTTACTTGAAAATATCAAGTTGCTCCCCCCGCTTGTAGAAGTCTTAATCTCTCGGCGTTAAAATCCTTCGCAATCCAGTCCAACCCTACTCTTCCAACTTATCCCTAGTCATTCTAGCATCAGCAACTACATCCTGTGTTTACATGTCTTTCTTACATTATTTCTTTTCTGTGCCATGCCTTTTCCTTTATTTTCTGCCTTTAAAAGATCACTCATTTCCAAGGACCAGTCAAGTACTACTTCCTGTATAAAGATTTAACTGATTTCCAGCAAAAAATACCATTTCAATAGCTTCCCCTTCTGTGTTTCGATAGCCCTTTGTTTATATCTCTACATTCCAATTAGGGTAACTTACTTGCATTATACCAAGAGCTGATGAATGGAACGGACATAGTTTGATTTTTCCTAGTCACCATACTGTGATTTGAATAGCAGAAACTCAAGAAAGGGTCACAAAATTAAATAAAATCTGCAATAAAATCATTGGGCCAATCCTCTCTCAGACTCCTGGCTTCTGGCACCCTCTCACACGGGCAATGTCAGCTGGCCCACTACTCTAACCTCTACTTCCCAAGGTTCTAAAATTAGCTTACTGGCCAGGTGTGGTGGCACATCCCAGCACTCGGGAGGCTGAGACAGGAGGACTGTTGTGACCTCAAGACCAGCCTGTGCTACAAAGTGAGCTCAAGGCCAGCCTGAGCTGCATAGCAAGATGTTGTCTCAAAAAGACAATCAATCAATCAATAAAACTAACTTACCGATCACAAGGGGCTTGAAGGGCTGGACCACATCAGAAGTACTATAGCTATGAGAAATGGAATACTCCCATTCATCAACAAAAATAAACAATACTTCTGCGAAGCTTTCCTGGATCCCTTATAACAAATGTCACCTACCTTCTCTGCATTCTCCTATCACTTTCTATCTCCCCTTTATTTAAGTTGTGTGTGTGAGTGCGCGCGCGCGTGTGTGTTCCACACTCAAGCAAAAAAATTGCTATTTTTGACTATGATTTTTTTCCCCCATTAAATGTAGCTTCCCTGAAGTAAGGAGCCTGGGGTATACTAGTTTTTTACTTAATTTACCAAGCCTAACAGGATCCGGCCCACTTTCTCTTTTCAACACACATATTATTACAAAAAGAGTAGCTTTTTATAAATACTTTGTATTAATCTTCACTACTGCTATCCATCTATCTTGGTGGGGTTTTGTGTTTGTTTGTTTTGAGACTAGGTCTTGCTATACATTTCAGGGTGGCCTTGAACTCATGGCAATCCTTTTCCCACCCTTTCAAGTGCTGGGATTTCAGGCCTGCACCACCATCTGGTTTGCATCTATCTTGTAAGCTAAAATGCTGGCTAGTTTGTTGTTCATTCCGCTGTAACAACATTTTCTCAAAATTTAAATTATCCATGCAGAAGAAATCTCAAATCATTAACATACGCTAACACTACAACTCATTTTGAAAGTTCTGTTCTTCCCAATCAGTATTTCCAGGACTGGACAACTGGGATGGGGAGAATATCTCTTCTTTATTCTCTTATCTGCCTGCCTTTGGGGCATTTTGTTACACATTTTAAGAGAATTGGAAGGAAAAAAATAAAAGCAATTAAAACAAACTAGTCTATTTTGGGGTTTCTTGGTAGTTTAGGGAAGTAGTAAGGGAATGTGGGGATATGTGATAGGAAGTACAGGTGGGATAAGGTAGGTGGGTAACAGATAGATATGGAAAGGGATTACTGAGATTTTTGCTAGTTTTAGTTATCTATGTGTATAGACACCTAAAAAAGATGTAAAGATCACCCAACTTTAACAAAAATTAAACCAGTGGGTGAAAGAGAATGAGGAAGACTGCTTGCAGGGCTGCATCAGGAGAACCAGAGACGCAGATACAGAAAAGCTTCAGAACCCAAGTTTCATCTGTTACCTTAAACCTAGAAAATCCCAATCCCACTCAAGGGCTGTACAACTTATTTGGGAACTTTAAGACTTCATTCTGCGGGCCACTGTTTTTCTTTCTTTCCTTTTCTCCCCCAAATCTATAATTTTTATTAGGCTACAGATATATGTAACTTACAAATTAACAATGAACTCTGGGTCTAGATACAATCTCAGTATTGTTCCACTCACAGACTGCTTTTAGTTATGTTTTCCCTCTGTAGTCTTGAGATAAGAAGGAATTATAAGAAATATACACATTCCACTAAATTCACCCATTTAAAGTATACTGGTACTGGTTTTTAATATATTCAGTCATGCAACCATTATCATAAGCATTTTGAACATCTTTATCACCCCAGAAGGAAACCCTGTCCCAATTAGCAGTCGCTCCCCATTTCTTCCTACTCTTCCCAAAACCCCAGCCCTAGGCATCCACTCCTCTGCTTTCCATCTCTATGAACTTGTCTATTCTGGACATTTCACTTAAGCAATGCATGATTATTAGTATTTTTTTTTTTTTTAAAGGCAGAGTCTCACTATGTAGCTCAGGCTGGCCCTGAACTTACTTTGTAGCCCAGGCAGGCCTGGATCTTGCAGCAATCCTCCTGGCTCAGCCTTCTGAGTGCTGTGATTACAGGTGTGCACCACTATGCCTGGCTCTGCAATGTACGATCTTTTGTGACTGACTTCTTTCACTTAGTGTAGTGTTTTCAAGATTCACTCATGATGCAGTATGATGTATCAATGTTTTATTTTTTTCATCACTGAATAAAATTCCATGGTATGGACACACCCCATTTTATTTGTCTATTCATCCACTGAC